TTTTCACAATAGACATTTATATACCGTTCGACAGCCCTTTGAAAGAGCTACATTTTGCCCTATTTCTATCTGAAAAAGGAAAAACTTCGATTTTCTGCCTAATGTCTGGCTGTATGCCCACTGTGTTATGGAAGAGGAAAGCGTTGGGTGTTGAGGGTGAGCCACAGTGTTCATTCATTATAATAACACTTGAAATACTTGTAAATTGTGGTTCTGAAGTTGAAAAGCTGACAATGCTATTTTAAGAGTTGAAAGCACGGTTCCAAAAGTTGAAAAGTAGAAATAATACATCGAAAGTTGAAAATATAGGTTGCAACATTGCAATAGCTGAAGAAACTTTTTAACGTTTTAAAAGTCTAACTGAATCGACTTCTACAGTACTTCCAAATTTTTGCTTATGCACTTACAATGTTTGTACTCATTGTCACATGTTTCATCTTCAGTACGTTGATAATGCCGATGTACGTGTATTAAATGTACAATGGTTGCGCAGAAAAATTGGCCTTATATCGCAAGAACCCATCTTGTTTGATTTATCAATAAAAGAAAATATTGGTTATGCACTAGAAGATAATGCCACAATTGATGATGTGATTGAAGCTGCTCAGAAAGCCAACATACACGAATTTATTAAATCATTACCACAAGTACTTAATTATTGATCTTCTGGCTTATTTTTCGCTTAACTGATGTTTTTCATTTTCAAGGGCTACGAAACGAATGTTGGCGTAAAAGGAACACAGTTATCAGGAGGGGAAAAACAACGTGTGACAATAGCTCGTGCACTCATTCGTAAACCAAAAATATTATTATTGGATGAAGCAACAAGCGCATTGGATAGTTTAAACGAACAGGTTTGGATCATTATTCTCTTTTCAATTTTGTACGTCGCCCGTAGATTAACTAAATAATTTATTGATAGAAAGTCTCAGTATTCACAACCAGCACACGGCGAAAAGAGAACAGTGGATAAGGACAGTCCCGGCTTCCTCTGTGCCCCCGAATTTTTTGGTTTTTGACGTTTTTCAAACGCACCTGGTAATATGATGGCGATCGCAGTGATCATGAATATCAGTTTCAGAAGTGTCAAAAAAGGCTCTGATGACCAGTAATCTTGAATTTAGATCAGTTTTCCTAGTTTTCGCATAAAACGGTCTTTAGATGAACGCTAGGTGAGGAAGCACCGAAAAAATAAAGTCTCTAACGATTCGGACTCAGAATTGCATGCTGAATCTGGATACGAATTTATGAAAATTACACAGTCTCAACCTCCACAAAACCAGGCAAAGACCGTTGAAAATATTGGTTTTTGGCAAGATAGACCTAAGTTAGCACAAAAAGGAAATGTGATCCACCAGCTAAATCTTATCCAATACATAACTTTTGATGCTATATTCAATGATTGTAAAAGATTGTGCAACAGGTGCAAAAATCA